CGGGACGGACGGGGGCTGTCATGACGTCGGGTAAGACGACGGTTGAGGAGTGATCGGTGGTCATGTCACTGTCTAGAGCTTGGACATTGACGAGGGGACGAGCGGCCATTTCGCTGTTTAGGGTTTTGTCTCACTGTCTTCAAAGACGTCTAGGGTTGTAGCTGATTTGGCTTAAACGTTATTTATACTTGTGTTTTCTTCTGGGTTATTGACCTGACTAATGGGCCTAATAAGGCCTAGTTAGCCTAACTAGATTACAATTCCTTGGGCGCCAAGTCTCGACGTTAATACGGGTTTTCAATTTTTAGTGTACAATTTATTAATTTTACGTTATAAATATTTTTTATTGGTTGAAATATAATTAAGTGTATAAATAATTATGTTTTTATATATAAAATATAAATTAATTGTTTACTTAATTCGTATCTTCAAAATTAAATTGACACTTAATATAAAATTGAGGGAATATATCATTATTGGCCTTTTGCTATAGTCCTCCCAACTCCAAACATTCTATATATGACTTATCATTTTTGGAATCAAATAATATATTTTTGTTGGTCTTTTGCTACAGTCTTTCCTAAGTCCAAACATTCTAAATACTGCTTGACACAAACCTAATCACAGACTTAAACACTGAACACAAGCCACTTTGATTTACCAGAGTCCTGACCATCAAGAATCTGACAATCACCACCTTATCCACCAGAGCCATCACGCTGTTTCCCATCCTTTGATCTTCCTGCTTTCTTCCCAACAAATAACCCCAACTTCATTGCTGTTAATAGTCCCATGGCAATTAGCAAAGGTCTCACAGCCCAGTGAATCCTTATTTTCTTTAATTATTGGTAACACTAAGTAATAATTTGTACCATCGATGAATCCTTATTTTCTTTTGGCTCTTAGTTCATTTGTTAACTCGGTTGATCACTCATTGTAGTTCTCACCCGTGAACATCACATATGTGATCAAGGCACCAGGATTATCTGATGCATATAGAGAGTACAGAGTCGAACTTTGGAAAAAAAACAAGTCTTATGTAGAATTTTATTTCTCGGATACCATGTAAAGTAGAGATATGAATACTTAACTGTAAACTTGTGTTCATATGAGGACGAATCAATGTATACTAGATGATACTCACGCGCATGTGCGGATGAGTTTTTATACTAATGTTCGTTAGGTTAATATTTTGCAACACTACAATCTTTATCAACTGTAAAATGACGAATACAAATGTTGGTCTCTTAAATATATCATATACCTTGACGTTTGGGGGTCCGTCGGTTTCGGTTCGATTGATTCGGATTTTACCAATTATCGGATCGGATTCGGTTCGGTTCCTTCCAGATTCGGTTTGGATCGGATTGTAACCAATATATGAAATTGTCCCAAAAAAGTATTTTAGAAACCTCAAAAATGTCAAAATATTTAAATTATTAATAAATTTAATTTAAAATTAAGTAAACTATCTAAACTAATTAAAAGATATTCCTAATAAAAAAAACTACAAAAATCTTTAGAATCCAATAAAATATCTAAATTACTTTGACATATAAAAAACATTAACATATTATACTAATTTCATATATATTTGGATCATAGTTTGGATTTCGGTTATGTTCGGATTATAACTAAATCCCAAAGTAGTAAAATCATAAGTCATGTTCGGATAAATTATAATATGTAGATTTTGTATTATGGAGAAACAAATATTAGACGAATGATCAAATCTCTTATTTTTCGAAAAAACTCAAAAGGAGGTGACTAGAATCTTTTCATGATATTTCACTAAAAGCTTTTTAGGAATAAATATCATGACTAAATTATTTAATTTGAATGAAATAATATATATACATATATAATTTTTTCAATATTAAAAATCTTTCAATTTGAAGAAGTGTAATTTCGATCGACAGGATCAGATAACATATTAAAAACTACATATTTTAAACATTAATTTGTATACATAAAAGTATATACATTAGAATAAACACATAAATCAAAACCAATACGTTTTGTTAATTTACAATCATGTTTTTGGTATATAAATCAAAACAGCCTTTTTATTTACTTTATATGATATATAATTAAACATTATTGATATTGACATAGATATATAGAATATATTTTAATATATATTTATTATTGACACTTACTACTCATATGATTTTATTAACATTTTGTATATTTTGCTCTAACAAAAATTTAAACCGTTAATCACAAAATATTTAATGTGAAAATATTCCAATATAAATTTTAAAAGTAAAATATTAAGATCTCAATAAATTTACCCTGCAAATTTTGAAATTAACATATTTATATATTTTATAACTAGTTTGAGCTAGATCTGCATCATTTCTCGAAAATTAAATGTACACTAGAACATCTGTAAATTAATATTTGATAACTTAATAACCTTTATAAATTAATAAATTTCGCCGATCCCAATTAGAGCCGGTTTAAAATTTTACAAAAATCGATAAAATAATAAGGTAATAGTTTTTTAGAATATTTCTCTGTAAATTTATGGTCTCATTAAAATTATAAATTAATAATTTATATGTATACATATTTTATATAAGTAAGAACCTATCCTAGTATTGTTTGTTTTGTATTCACAATCAAATTATTTTTATATTTTCTTAATACTTAATATATTTTTGATGAGATTTACTAATATTATATCTAAAACAGCATTTAAAATCTATGCAGTATAATTATATACAACAAACAATATAATAAATTAATATAAAATTTCAAATTTCAAAAAATAATAAGTAATATCTATACACTAAAATCGAATATTTTTCTTATTTTAGTATAAATACATCTTAAAATAATAAATTTAAATATGGAAACTTATGTAAACTAATATCTCTATAAATTAATTTTAAAGTTCCAAATTTATTAATTTACAGAGATTCTACTGTATATAACTATTTATTGCGGTTCATAAGAAAGCATCGCTATTTATTATGTGATAACTGAATTTTAGTATCAATAATTTATGAGTTGAATATACAGTAAAATCTCTATAAATTAATAATTTTGGGATTTGAAAATTTTATAAATTTATAGAGATGTTAATTTACAAAAATTTCCTTATTTAGATTTTTTAAATTCTTTTAAGATATATTTATTCTAAAATATGACAAATATTTGATTTTATTGGTTTATTTTTTTTAAATTGACATTTATATTAATATTATTATATTATTTGGTGTATAAATATATATTCCACATAACATAAATGTGATTATAAATATAATATTACTACATCTTATCAAAATTTATTAAGTGTGAAGAAAATATAAAGATAATTTCGTTGTGAATACAAAACAAACAGTATAATGCAGGTTCTTACTTATATAAAATATGTATACATATAAATTATTAATTATAATTTTAATGGGACCACATATTTACATAGAATTTTCAAAAAAAAGTTATTATCTTATTATTTTATCGATTTATATCAAATTTGGAATTAGCAAAAGTTGAGATCGACAAAATTTATTAATTTACTGACTATTAATTTATAGAGATTCTACTATAGTACTTTACTAGGATAAGACCTGCGCCTTGCGCAGGGTGAATATATATAATTAATATATAAAATTTTAATATTCACAAATTTAAAATTTACATATGATTGTTTTTGTATGTATTTGAAATTTTAGAATTTTGGAATTTTTATATAATTATCTATACGTATGATCAAAAACAACTTTAATTAGAAATGTAAATCAAATCTTAGAATTTAATGGATCTGATTTCATATATCTTTTTACTTTTCAGTGTTCGAGTGA